TTTTTACTGTATTTTTCGGAACAGACATTGATGGGGGAACATTTAGGTAAAGTTTAAAACATTTCAATAGCTTTTTGTTCTGAGGAATCACCTTAAAAAGTGTTTAAGGTGAAATACATACATATAAAAAAATATATATACATAAACCGTGATATAAAAAATATACATACATATACCGTGATATATGTAAAGCATACTTTTGTTCTTTAGCTGGGATACTTACAGTATTTAAATAACTACTTACAGGGAATATTGTCTTTAACGTGTTTTAGCTCCGACAGCTCCCAGCAACCTTAAGTTGACTGTTGAGTCATCCACCTTGATAAAGGCGTCGTGGACTAAGCCTCTGAAGTTTAATGGTGTCTTTAAACGATATGTAGTGATTTACGGCAGTAGATGTAGAGAACCAAAGCATGAGCACAGATACAAGATTATGAGTTCATGACTATTTATTATTTGTCTTAAAGAATGGTGTCATGCCGACAATACCTTATGGTTAATATCGCTTGTCGATTTTCCCAACTACGATATATTTGCTTAGTGAAGATGGAAGCTGACATGGATCTTTTAATTCTGTTTCTGACTTACAGCTCCCGGTTCTGCTCCAATCATCGACAAAAAAAAAACAAAAGCCGAGGATGCACACACCATAAAAGTGCAGTGGAATGAAATTGCAAAGGAGGATCAAAACGGCCTCATATTGGGTTATGAGGTTTTATACAAAGAAAAAGGCCAACAAAGTTCCAGGTTGAACACTACAACGACAAACGCCATAATCAGGCACTTGAAACCATACACACTATACTGCATCAAAGTTCAAGGGTTCACAAAAGCTGGGGAGTCACCAGTCAGCCCCTGCTTTGATATCAGGACATCGGATAAAGGTATGTCACCATGTAATTATACTTGATTCAATATCATGCTTGGATTAAAGAGGTTGTTCGTCAGCAAAACAAACTCAACGACAACGACAACGACAGCAAAATAACCAAATAACGGAATGAGACTATGATGGGTGTAAACGACGTTTAACTTCAGAAGAAAACGTTTGTTTCCGCTTTTCAATAGGTTATTCTTGATCTCCAAAAAATTAGTTTTATTGGCATAGTGAAATCTCTAAACAGAAATGGCCAAAAATCTGCTAGCATTTTTTCGTTGTTGCACCCCAGGACACCCCCAACCCACCCCTCCCCCCTTCCTAGCCTAAGCTACGCCCTCGATGAGAAAGAGCTATGAATAATTTGAGGCAGTTCAAACTGTACTTTGTAGTGATTGGACCACTCAAGGTTGTGCAAATCCTGTTTTGTTCATTTTTTGTATAGGTTCAAGCCAGCCACTTAATGTTCAAGTTCAAGCCATTTCTTCCGTTTCAATTCTTGTAAAGTGGGATGCACCAGCTCACCCTAATGGAGATATAAAAGAGTATACAATATTTTATGGAACCAGCAAGGATGTACAGAGTAATGAGCGAAAACTGAATGGAAGCACGCGGGAAGATACTATAGATGGCTTGAACTTC